TTGGGATCCCGTGAGCCGGCTCTGACTGTGTGCTCGCGCTGCCCCCTGCTGGCCGTGTCCTGACACTGCCCCTCCAGGGACAAACTGGGTAGGAGGGTTAGCTGGGTGGGCTGCGCCAGACCTTGCCCGAGGTGGTTCCACTTGTGGGAAAACGTATTTGAAGACCACCAATGTTAAAATCTGACGTGCTCAGCCTCACAAAATCCCAGCTGCCTATGTGTGTGATTCCTACAAATGGCCCCCACATTGTTGGAGAGAGACAATAAAATACTCTTTTGAAGGCCACCAGCTATGGGAAGAGGAACGACAAAATATGAATTTTATGACAACTATTTGGTGCCCATAACAACTTCCTTTCTGGCGACATCTGGTTTTTTTTTGTTTGTTTGTTTTTGTTTTTTTTTTCTTTTTTTTTTTTTCTTTTTTTTTTTTGAGACGGAGTTTTGCTCTTGTTGCCCAGGCTGGAGTGCAATGGTGAGATCTCAGCTTACCACAGCCTCCATCTCTTGGGTTCAAGCGATTCTCCTGCCTCAGTCTCCCAAATAGCTGGGATTACAGGCATGCGCCACCATGCCCAGCTAATTTTGTATTTTTAGTAGAGACAGGGTTTCTCCGTGTTGGTCAGGCTGGTCTCAAACTCCTGACCTTAGGTGATCCTCCCGCCTCAGCCTCCCAAAGTGCTGGGATTACTGGCATGAGCCACCACGCCCAACCCTCTCTGGGGACATCTGGGATGAGGCAGAGATTCTGCCTCATCAAAGTAATTTGAGAGTTGGAAGGTTGCAGCGATGCATTTCTGCCATGCTAATTTGGTTGTTGGGAGAATGCAGACAGCAGAGTCTGGAGGCAATTTCAGCTGTGGGTGGAGGTCTCAGGAAGGAAACTGGCGCCAGCTTCAGAGAGCCTCTCAATGAGATTGGCCACTGCCTCGGGTTTACCCAGGGGAAAGTGGAGGAGTTTAGTGCTGCCTGGGGGCATGGCAAAGCCTTACTGGAAGAAGCATACCTTTCTCTTAATTCAAGCTAGCAGGGAAAGAGGTGAAGTGGACCACTGCTGGTTCTACTTTTTTTTTTTCTTTTTTTTTTTTTTTGAGACGGAGTCTCACTCTGTCACCCAGGCTGGAGTGCAGTGGTGTGATCTTGGCTCACTGCAACCTCTGCCTCCCAGCTTAAAGCAATTCTCCTGCCTCAGCCTCCCGAGTAGCTCGGATTACAGGTGCATGCCACCACACCTGGCCAATTTTTGTATTTTTAGTAGAGGCGGGGTTTCACCATGTTGGCCAGGCTGGTCTCGAGCTCCTGACCTCAGGTGATCCATCCTCCTCAGCCTCCCAAAGTGCTGGGATTACAGGTGTGAGCCACCATGCCTGGCCTCTGATCCCACTTTCTGTTGGGGGCTTGGCTCTGGAGTTTAGGAAGCTCAGAAGTGTCAGATCTGGAAGCCTGTGGGATCTCCTGGAGCCTCACTATTCAAAGGGTGGTCCAAGGAGGGCTGGACCTTAGAGCTCCCAAGCTCCAAGGCCATATCTCAGACATGCTGCATCAGAATCTGCATTTTTAACAAGACCCCCAGGGGACTGCACATTAAACAACCAATCAGGCCAGGCACAGTGCCTCACACCTGTAAGCCCAACACTTTGGGAGGCTGAGGCAGGAGGATTGCTTGAAGCCAGGAGTTCAATACCAGCCTGAGCAACACAGCAAGACTCTGTTCCTATAAAAAAAAAATCAGCCAAATGCAGTGTAGTTTTAGCTACTAGAGGCTGAGGCAGGAGGATCTCAAGTCTGGGAGTTCAAAGCTGCCTGAGCCATGATCACACTACTGCTGTCCTATAAATGGGCAACAGAGTGAGACCCTGAGAGAGGAGAGAGAGAGAGAGAGAGAGAGAGAGAGAGAGAGAGAGAGAGAGAGAAAGGCAATCAATGCCTACAAAACAGTGGTTGTCTACCTCCCTGCAGGTGTCTGAAATGTGCACTGCCTAAACCCTGTATGTTGACATATGGAGGTGAGGATATGGAGGAACCCACTCTAGTAAGTATTCATATCTGTGGGTTTAAAGGCAAACTTTGCACGTGAGCAGAGAACAGAGAAGGCGGCTGCAGGAGCCCTGTGGGAAGACCGCAGCTGATAGGCTAAATGTCCCAGAACTTTTTCTGCTGTGGGGCTGTGCCCGGAAGTTGCCTTGCCAGTAGGCAGGACACGTAGTACACCTTGATTTCTCAAGGTGGCCACATATGAAGAAGGAAGAGACAAAGATAAGGGTTTGAAGGTGCACACAACGTGGCTCTTCAGCACTTCTGAGCCCAGGAATGTTTTTGGAAAGTATAACCAGGCCGGGCTCCACTTTCCTCGAAGTCCATCAGTTAGATACCTTGGTGTGGAGCTGGACCACGTCAGACACTTTTCTAGTAGTTTCTACCTTGGAGATGACGTATGAGTGGCAACCAAACAGATAAAGCCAAAACCACTGTCCAAAGTAACAACGGCACTCTGAAAAATATCATCTGAACCTCTCAATTATCCTGAGGTAGGCATTTTTAGTATAATTATTCCCATAGGAAAATAAATAAATAAATAAATAAATAAATAAATAGAGGTTAAATTCTGCTTAGGATCAAAGAGCTAGAAATGGCGAGGATGGGACCCTGACCCAGCACCTCTGGCTCCAAATCTCTTTGGCTCTGTTACCACTCATGCTTTGTCTCCAATGTTTGTTTTATTTATTTCTGGGGGTGGGAGAGGTGCAGGTAGGAGAAGGGAGAAGAAACAATGAAATGAGAATTTCATATATTTTAGGTTAATTTCACCAACTATCATCAGATGATGAGGAAATGACTTTAAGAGGAAACCGGCCGGGCGCGGTGGCTCAAGCCTGTAATCCCAGCACTTTGGGAGGCCGAGACGGGCGGATCACAAGGTCAGGAGATCGAGACCATCCTGGCTAACATGGTAAAACTCCGTCTCTACTAAAAAATACAAAAAACTAGCCGGGCGCCGTGGTGGGCGCCTGTAGTCCCAGCTACTCGGGAGGCTGAGGCAGGAAAATGGCGTAAACCCGGGAGGCGGAGCTTGCAGTGAGCTGAGATCCGGCCACTGCACTCCAGCCTGGGGGACAGAGCAAGACTCCATCTCAAAAAAAAAAAAAAGAGGAAACCAGTCGTTAGTAGAGATGCTGGGGTAAATGTGGTAGGCAGCATGAATCAAAAGGAAGGTGTGGGTGACACAAAGCCACATGGAGAGAGGTGTTTAACTTAGCACCTTTGGGGAGGGGTTCACCAGTCCGAGGCCAAATTGCCTGTCATGTCTTTCAACCACTCCGATACAGGGCAGCACTTTCATGGAACTCCCTCTAAAGATACCCAAGAGAGAGGTGAGGAGGGGAGGCTGTCATATGAAGGGCCATCCAGTTAGGTGTTTCATCTTCACCAAGGGAAAGTACTCCCCATAGGACTAGAGCAGAGAGGCCTGTTAATGAAAGGTAAAATAAAAAATAGCATCACTGGGGCAGTGAGTGAGGTGTCACTGAACACAAATGCTGTACGGCTGCCTCAGGAGAGGGCAGCTGTGTGCTACTGGTCCTGCCTGACCACACTGGCATGCAGCTGGCACTGACCGGCCTCATGCCCTGGACCTGAAATCTCTTCCATGTAGTCTTTCCATAGGTAGTATTCTTTGCAAGTTGGTTTTCTTGGGCCAAAATAGTCTGGCTATTTTGTGGGGGATATGAATCGAGGGGAAGCTTGCTTACCAGAGAGGGATGAAGTTTGAAATTTGGCACTGGGCATTTTTAGGTCTTGTTAATGCACAACTTCTAAAGCTAACACTCCCCACCCTGCCTAACTTGACAAAGGTTTTGTGTGGCCAAGGAGGGAAGGGAGCTGTGAGTGTCTCTTGGGGTTGGTACAACCCTCCTGGCTGAGCCAGTGCTTGGTCCTGGGAGACCTTAGCTTGGGTTCAGACAGATTCAAGTAAGAAACCACCACCAGCACCCAACCAACCCAATATAATCTTAACTTGGGAAATGTTCACTTAGTCTTTTTTTTTTTTTTTTTTTTTTTTTTGAGATGGGAGTTTCACTCTTGTGCCCAGGCTGCAGTGCAGTGGCGCGATCTTGGCTCACCACAACCACCGCCTCCTGAGTTCAAGTGATTCTCCTGCCTCAGCCTCCCGAGTAGCTGGGATTATAGGCATGTGCCACCACGCCCAGCTAATTTTGTATTTTTAGTAGAGACAGGGTTTCTCCATGTTGGTCAGGCTGGTCTTGAACTCCCGACCTCAGGTTCGCCTCAGACCTGCCTCGGTCTCCCAAAGTGCTGGGATTACAGGCGTGAGCCACCGCACCCGGCCTCACCTAGTCTTTTCAAAGAACATTATTGGAAAAGCCTACAAATCACACATGGCAAGCACCATTTACACCTTGCCTTGCATTTTGTCTTCATGATTCACTTTTAAGAAATGATTAAAACACTGAGGCTGGGCATGGTGGCTCACAGCTATAATCCCAACACTTTGGTAGGCCAAGGCGGGAGGACTGTTTGAACTTAAGTTTGAGACCAGCCTGGGCAACACAGCAAAAAACTAAAAACTAAAAAATTAGCCAGGTACAGTAGCAAGTCCCTGTAGTCCCAGGGGCTACTCGGGAGGCTAAGGCAGGAGGATTGCTTGAGCCCAAGAGGTCAAGGCTGCAGTGAGCTGTGATCATGCCACTGCACTCCAGCCTGGGCCACAGAGCAAGAATCTGTCTCTAAAAAATAAAAAAGTAGAAAACAGATACTTCACTTATTTTAGTTCTTGGCTTTCTTGCCTGGAGAAGATGGGGTTGTGAAGATGCTTGTGGCCTGGTCAAGGTTTTGGTATTTGTTTGCGAAGATGGACTAACATCAATTGTGGTGCAAAAATGGGGTTTTATGTATTTCCATTAATCTCATACTTTGGTGAAGACACAGGAAGAATCCTTTCAGATGGAAAACTGACACTATACAAAGGACACATAGCCACACCACATTTTTAGTCTTTATTTTTTAAGTAAATTCCATTGAATCAAATATAACAAAATTACAGTTTTTGTTTGTAATGATCTTTGTTCACCACCACACAATCATAGTAGAATCGAAAGTAATATGAGCACATAAAATGATCAAGGACATCATTGTTTAGTATAATTTCTTATTAAAGGTAAATATCCCCATATTTAGAAAAAATTGCATTGCTAGTTGCAAATCTTAAACACCTCAATGCTGAAGGATCCTGTATTTCCCCCCCAAAGATCCAGCAGCACAGAGGCTTTCAGAACACAAACTCAAAAATATAGTATTTTCAGGGCAGCATTTTAAGTTTCAGAAACCCAAACAAAACAAAACAAAACAAAATCAGAATTAGGAATGTGAAAGTGATGGTTCTCAAAAAGTCAATTGGGAAGCAGATCTGCCAACATAAGAATGTGGTTGAACAGAGACTAACCAGGAAAAGGAGAGATGCAAACTCGCTCCCCCTCCCCCCTCGCCATCGTCCCCCGCCCCCAGCGAGCAAACCGCCTCGCTGCTCTGTGCTGTCTCTCTGATGGCGTCCACCTCCGGGGCCATGGCGAAGCACGAGCAGATCCTGGTCCTCGACCTGCCCACAGACCTCAAATTCAAAGGCCCCTTCACAGATGTAGTCACTATAAATCTTAAATTGCGAAATCCATCGGATAGAAAAGTGTGTTTCAAACTGAAGACTACAGCGCCTCACCGGTACTGTGTGAGGCCCAACAGTGGAATTATTGACCCAGGGTCAACTGTGACTGTTTCAGTAATGCTACAGCCCTTTGACTATGATCCGAATGAAAAGAGTAAACACAAGTGTATGGTACAATTTTTGCTCCACTGAACACTTCAGATATGGAAGTTGTGTGGAAAGAGGCAAAACCTGACGAATTAATGGATTCCAAATTGAGATGTGTATTTGAAATGCCCAATGAAAATGATAAATTGAATGACATGGAACCTAGCAAAGCTGTTCCACTGAATGCATCTGAACAAGATGGACCCATGCCAAAACCACACAGTGTTTCACTTAATGACACCGCAACAAGGAAACTAACAGAAGAGTGTAAAAGACTTCAGGGAGAAATGATGAAGCTATCAGAAGAAAATCGACACCTGAGAGATGAAGGTTTAAGGCTCAGAAAGGTAGCACATTTGGATAAACCTGGATCAGCCTCAACTGCATCCTTCAGAGATGTCACCAGTCCTCTTCCTTCACTTCTTGTTGTAATTGCAGCCATTTTCATTGGATTCTTTGTCTTTTGGAGACGGAGTCTCACTCTTGTCCCCCAGGCTGGAGTGCAGTGGCATGATCTCGGCTCACTGCAACCTGTCTCCTGGGTTCAAGCAATTCTCCCACCTCAGCCTCCCTAGTAGCTGGGATTACAGGCGCCCACCACCACACCCAGCTAATTTTTGCATTTTTAGTAGAGACGGGGTTTCACCATGTTGGCCAGGTTGGTCTCGAACTCCTAACCTCAGGCGATCCACCTGCCTTGGTCTCCAAAGTGCTGGGATTACAGGCGGGAGCCACCATGCCCGGCCTTCATTGGATTCTTTCTAGTGAAATTCATCTTGTAGAGTGAAGCATACAAAGTGCTATTTCTTTTTTTTTTTCTTGACCAGAAAAAGATTCGTTTACCTACCATTTCATTGGTAGTATGGCCTGCGGTGACCATTTTCTTTTGTGTGTGTACAGTGCCGTATAGGCTTTGCGTTTAATGATCTCTTACGGTTAGAAAACACAATAAAAACAAACTGTTTGGCTACTGGACAAATTGTATATTACCAGATCATCACTAGCAGGTTTCAGTTGCACATTCAATCCTTTATGAAATTCATAAAGAATTGTTCTGGGAAGTGGGGAGCGCCTCTGCCAAGCCCCTATCCCGTCTGGGAAGTGAGAAGCCTTTCTGCTTGGCCGCCCACCCTCTGGGAAGTGAGGAGCGCTTCTGCCAGGCCCCTGCCCCGTCTGGGAAGTGAGGAGGGCCTCTGCCTGGGGGCTGCCCATCTGGGAAGTGAGAAGCGCGCCTGTCTGGCCGCCCACCCTCTGGGAAGTGAGGAGCGTTCTTCCTGGCTGGCTGCCCACCCTCTGGGAAGCAAGGAGCGCCTCTGCCCAGCTGTCCCACCATCTTGGAAGTGAGGCATACCTCTGCCCGGCCCCTGCCCTGTCTGGGAAGTGAGGAGTGTCTCTGTCCGGCCACTGTACCTTCTGGGAAGTGAGGAGCGCCTCTGCCTGGCCACCCACCATCTGGGAAGTGAGGCACGCCTCTGCCTGGCTGCTGCACTGTCTGGGAAGTGAGGTGCGTCTCTGCCTGGCTGCTGCACTGTCTGGGAAGTGAGGTGCGTCTCTGCCTGGCTGCTGCACTGTCTGGGAAGTGAGGAGCGCCTCTGCCTGGCCACCCACCATCTGGGAAGTGAGGTGCGTCTCTGCCTGGCCACCCACCATCTGGGAAGTGAGGTGCGCCTCTGCCTGGCCACCCACCATCTGGGAAGTGAGGTGCGCCTCTGCCTGGCTGCTGCCCCATCTGGGAAGTGAGGAGCGCCTCTGCCTGGCCACCCACCATCTGGGAAGTGAGGTGCGCCTCTGCCTGGCCACCCACCATCTGGGAAGTGAGGTGCGCCTCTGCCTGGCTGCTGCCCCATCTGGGAAGTGAGGAGCGCCTCTGCCTGGCCACCCACCATCTGGGAAGTGAGGTGCGCCTCTGCCTGGCCACCCACCATCTGGGAAGTGAGGTGCGTCTCTGCCGCCCGCTGCCCCGTCTGGGAAGTGAGAAGCGCCTCTGCCCGGCTGCTGTGCAACCCTCCAAGTGTGAAGTGACAGCCTTATGTGTGATCTTTTTGCTCTCCCCAAGTTTGCATTTTCGACATTAATAATAGTTTACTTTTTAAATAAAAGTTTTAAATTGGAGAATAAAAAAAAACTAACTTCAGCTTCTTATTATTGGAGATGCATGAAAGCTCTACCCACATACATGCTAGGAAAAACAGTTCAGAAAACACGGGGGACTGACTCTTCCAAAAGAAGCAGCTGTCTACTCTGCGGCCTACTTCCAAGGGCCACTGTAAGAGGAAGCCTGGGCTGCAGCATTCGGAGGTAGCAGCAGCAGAGACGGGAAGGAAGCAGGCCTTGCCTTGTGTGGCATTCCAGTTCCCTCTGTCAGCAGGGGCCAGATCCCCCTTCCTTAGCTTCAACTACAATTTGGCAAAAGCAATTCTAGGGCAACTGGGGGCAGTAGGGGCGTAAGGGGTTTACTTCCCTCTGCTTAGATAACAGAGGTAGAAGAAACACTTTCCATCAATTGCTTGGCCTCTAAATGCCACAGGCAGGCTACTTTTCATGGCTTTTCAAAGCATCCAAGCAATCCAAAGTGGCTTTGAACAGCAGAGTAAGGCCAAGAAGGGTAAAAAGGGGCCAGAGCTGAGGTGTTTGGGCCAGTTCTGGATCACTCATATTGTTGAGGGAGGGATGGGAGCATAAGATAACAAGGAGCCTCAGTCCACTTAAGGAAATTCTCTGGTTTTGCTGCAGTTTCGCTTCAAACTTCCACAGCAGAAGAATTTGAATTCTAATGCCACAATATTGTTGTAATACCAGGGATTCTCTAGAGGCAAGTTAAGGCTTTCTGGGCAAAGAAAACAATTCCAGATGATATTGTGACAGAATGCTACAGTGAAATGCTTCTTAATGACTCTCCTGTCCTGCCTAAAGGACAAAGACCTATGAGTGACTTCAACTTGACGTGATGTTTCAGTGATCTTTACTTCAGCTCTAAGTCGGAATCAATGGCACAGGAAAAGAAAAGCCTCTTACATCTCAGACATCTGCTTGCCGAGCAAACACAAACAAGAACACGTGTATTGTTTCTCAGGAGCTGGCAAAATAGATCTCCAGTCCCACAGTTACAAAGAGAGCTCTCATTCAGATGCCGGGCATATAAGCTTAGCTACCCAGAAAGTTCAGCTTTAATGGAGACTGTAGTTTTAGAATGAAAGCCTGAGCAGGAAGGATTTCTGCCCTGGGAATTCTCAATGCTCTGCCTGAGTCACACTGGAGGATGGAGATAGGCTCCTCATTCCAGCGGCCAGCACCTGCCACAGTCACAAGACCACCCTCAGAATAGCAAGGATCTTACGATGACAATGGGGACTCTGAAGAGAAGCCAGTCAAAGACACAGGGCTTTGGACAAGATCAAGGGTCTTCACCAGGAAAGCTTAATGCAGAAGCCCCCTCCCTCCAAGTCCCCTCAGCATGAGCCTTGAGCCTTGACATAGTTGTTTCCACCTGCAAGGGCTGGAGAAGCCAAGTTCACACTGATGTTCAGCAATGTTCAAGCAAATGATGTGTAAATAGATTAAATGGTCTTAGAGATGGTCTAAGAGGAGGGAACAGGCTCAGAGAGGTGAGGTGATTTGCCCATGATCCAATGTGAATTAGAGACCATTAGGACAAGAACTCAGGTATATTTCCACTCTTATGGTGACTCATAAGGTTCCCAGTAAGCGTAAAATGCTGCAGAGAGGAGAATATTGCAACCAACAGCTTTCTGCTTTCACTCTGCTCTGGAGTCATTCGTGTAAACTCACAGCAGGAAAAGATAACAGTTTTCTTCAAGTCTGTTAAACTCACTTCTAACATAAAAACATTAAAGAAACTTGACACAATTTTTTGAGTCAGTTAAACCTAATTTGACTGGAATCAGTTACTTATAAGTATCTTCAAATTGCTTATGAGACACGGAGTACTACAGGAGAGATGTGGGTGCTTCTCCCCATTGGTTTTTAACACATTATTCCTGCAATGGAATTGTCCGCTTGATGCAATTTATAACCTCAGTTTGATTCTAAAATATAATATTCAAATACTCTTTAAAAATTCAGCCTTGTTTTCGCCCAAATAGAACCTTACTAGCAAAAGGGGGATTCATATAATCATCAGAAATGAATGACTTTGGGAAGAAAGGCAAGGACACCTGGAGGAAGGAAAAAGGATGACCTATCTATAAACTGCCACTCCCTCATTTATCAGGCAAGTTTGCAGCTCTGTAAATTCAATGCCTCTGTGCTCTCATTCAGGGACAAACAAGAATTCTCCAGTAAGACAGCCACAGTCACATTCGCATTTCCATGCCCAAGAGCCTGAAGCTTGAACAAAGGGCTTCAGTTAATTTCATGTGAGCCAAAATGGAATGTGAGTGCCATTCAGAGTCACACACTAAAAAGATTTCAGCTGGGACATTGGCTCCCACAGTCCTGGGGGAGCAAATTCCGGTTGTGTAGCAACAAAGGCTATGCTGCCAGCCCTGCCTGTCCTCCACAGGGGCCACCAGGACTGCCATGCAGACCAGGCTCCACCCTCCCCCACACCGGTTTGTGTGACAACAGGGCTGTCTTTTCTCTTCCCAAATTTCTGAATGGAGCTAGTACCTGGGCCAGCCACTATGTTGTCAGAATAGGTTAAGGGGTGTGGCCTCAGGCATATGAAAGGAGCCTCTCGCTCTTTTGTGGTGGTGATTCAATCCTAGGATGTTATTGCTTGGTTCACCTATTCTCATAAAAAGCCTTGAGAAATGAAGGTAGTAGTGGCAGAAATATGACTATCAATCGTCAGGATCACAGCTGTAGTTGGGTGAAGGGAAAAGTAAAAGGAGAGGGAATAGCTTCCAAATTGAGGGGTAAAGTGCCAGTCTGTGCTAAAAGAACATGAAAAGGAAATGTATTCGAGAAATAATACACTGGGGGGAAGAAAGTCATAATGATAGCGGTTGGCGAGTGTCAGAAATTATACCAAAGCAAAGTTGAGACCACAGAAATCTCAATTTTCTGAGACAAGGGCTGTTTTTGATGTTATTCAGATGATTTGGTGATTGTCAGAAAACAACTTCTTCAGGTTACGGACGTTCCTGTCACAGTCACTTGGACCCGTGCCCAAACCACACCCACCTGTGGCCCTGAGGGTTGGCACTCAGTTGCTCAGGTGGCTCCTTTCATCCCTGAAACATCCATGCAGACCCATTACTTATATTCCAGTCTGTCCTGGAGTCAAAGGAGATGAAGGAGGGAAACTATCTTTTTAAAGTATCCAGGCAATTTTACTCATAGTTCTGTTTAGTTCCAGATAGCAACTGCTGATTTTTCAAAGTGCAGGGTTTTTAGATATTCAAGTACCACAGGATCGGAGAAAAGGAGTACTTGAAACCTAGAGTTGTGTTTTCACTTCAGAAGACACACTTTGGAAACACCTATCCAACAGACTACAAATATAGGCTATTAAATTAAAAATCTGGTTTCAAAATAATACCCACTTAGGTTGGAAATATCTGTCTCCAAACTCAGGTCCAACTTTTGAATTGTTTGGTATCAAAAAGCAAAGTTAGAGGAACTTGGGTTTAAAAACTAAAATTACAAGTGAGTGCTTAAAAAAAAAAACAAAAACAACACCAAAACATCTTTTTATCAAATAAGGGACACACACACACACAAAACGCAAATGATGATATCTACATGCTTAGACTGGGAGAGCAGCTCCCAGGCTCCCCTGGAGGGATGTTCTCTCAAACCTCAGTAAACTGAGTTTGTCATTGAACTTTGAACCTGGTAGTGAGCTCAGCAATCTACCTGGTCCAAGTCCCCCATTTTAGAGGTGAAGAAACTGAAGTCCACAGGGACTTTGTTGAGGGTGAAAAGCTGAGCCAGGGCACAGCCCAGATGCTCAGCCCACCCAGAGCCCTTCTGAGACATCACACTGTGGTCACACGATGGCAGCTCCATAGCTGGCCTTGCTGCTCTGGAGACCATGGGAGCTAGGGGATACCCCTGATTGATTATGAATTCCAATAAAATGAGCTATGAAGATGTTTCCAATTCAAAAGCGCTGTTGAACAGCATTTCCAAAATTTGCTTGGTGATGAGAATCATCTGGGGCACTTGTCAAAAATTAAAATCCCCAGGCTCCTTCCCAGACCCAGTGAATCAGCCTCTCCGAGGGGAGGGACCTGGGAGGCTGAATTTTTAACAAGTGCCCCATGTAACTCTCAGCAGCAGCAAAGTGTAGGGAAATGATCTTAGAAGATAGGGTGAAAACTTGGCTTGTGACTCAAAGGAATTTCCTTTGCCATTTAAGAAGCCACACTCTGGCCTGGGAAGCCTGGCTTCTCAGGCTTCCAAGCTGAGCTGTGTCTTCAGCATTGGCCTGGAAGGGTGAGCTCTTTTTAAGGTCTACGTAAGGACACATACAAACCACCACAAAATGACATACACCCTTCACTGTTCTCAGGGAAAAGCCTTTTGGTGGCAAAGCAAACTTGCTATTCAGACACATTTTTAATAGGCAAACTAGATGTACTTGGCTTAAAAGCAACCAGATGCTGAAACTGGACAGAGGGCAAGAACTCTGTCACTTGTCACCATGACTAACAATGCAATGGAGAAAACCAGTAACTACGCACAAAAATAAGCTGGAGCTCCCAGGAAGAGCTGCCTACTCCGAGACAGGTGTGCATGGTGGGTGCCCCCTGCTGATGGTGTGAGGTCAGATCCAGGTCACTGAGGGAGATGGGAGACCTGAAACAGGGGGTGAGGGGACGCAGCTTCCAGAGGAGGGCTGCTGGAGCATACCAGAGTCCGGAGGCCTCACTCCAGGTCAGCCTCCACCTGCTCCGTGTCAGAGCACTGTGACTTGTTACGCTCCCATTGGCAAATGGCGTTGGCGTACTCCACCACCAGCTTATCCATCCATGTCAGGGGCTCCGGGAACAGCACAGAGCCCTCAAAGAAGCCCAAGTGGCCCCCATGCAGAGGCAGCACAAACATGACGTTCTCTCGTTTCTCTGCAGGGGAAAGGCAGCTGAGTGAGTTACTGTTCTCTAGTTTGCTCCAGGACAGGAGGTGCGGAGGTGAGCTGGCTAGGGTAGCCTGGGTTTTCCCCACAGGGGCAGTCACCTAAGTGGGCATTCAATCTCTACTCACTCTGCCTTGTTCAACAAAGAGGGGGCAGGCAAGACAGTGGCACCTAGCAGGTTTTAGAATACAGCTTGGCTTGGAGCTGAATGGGCACCAGCTTACACCCAGGCTGGCCCAGATGAATTAAATCAGAATCTCTGGGGGTGGGAGGTTGAGGAGGAGTGAGGGAGGGGAATTCCCAAGTGTTGGTATTGCTCAAGCTCCCCAGGTGATTCAATGTGTTTCCTAACTTTGTGCATCGGAATCACTGAGGATATCTTATTAAAATGCAGATTTTGATTTAATAAGCCTGAAGGGGGAGCTGAGATTCTCCAGTTCTAAAAAGCTCCCAGGTGATTCCCATGCTAGCGGTGGCGGCTGGGCTCTGAGTAGGGATTCATGGCATTTACAGTATCATTTGCTAGAGAACAAGGAGAATTCAATGGAGTCAATGATTTTTCACTACAGACATTTATCTTCAAGATTGGTTTTTTTTGTTTTTTTGAGACGGAGTCTCGCTGTGTCACCCAGGCTGGAGTGCAGTGGCACGATCTCGGCTCACTGCAAGCTCTGCCTCCTGGGTTCACGCCATTCTCCTGCCTCAATCTCCCAAGTAGCTGGGACTACAGGCGCCCGCCACCATGCCCGGCTAATTTTTTGTATTTTTTTTAGTAGAGACGGGGTTTCACTGTGTTAGACAGGATGGTCTTGATCTCCTGACCTCATGATCCACCCGTCTTGGCCTCCCAAAGTGCTGGGATTACAGGCGTGAGCCACCGCGCCCGGCCTATCTTCAAGATTCTTAAAGCTGCATGTTGTGTTAAAAGATGCCTAAGCTCTCAACGCCACATGCTAAGTGGCCATCCTGAAAAATAATAACCTAGAGCTTAACTTTATTTTTTATTTTTGATTTTTTTGAGACAGAAAAAATTACTGCAACCTCCACTCCTGGGTTCAAGCGATTCTTATGCCTCAGTCTCTCCAGTAGCATGTACCACCATGCCCAGCTAATTTTTGTACTTTTAGTAGAGATGGGGTTTCACCATGTTGGCCAGACTGATCTCAAACTCCTGACTTCAAGTGATCCGCCTACCTTGGCCTCCCAAAGTGCTGGGATTTATAGGCATGAGTTACCACACTCGGCCCAGTTGCTTCTATTTTTATGTTTAAAGCAGATGGAGAGGCTATCACAAGAGACAGCAGAACAGGATTTTTTGTTTTGCTTTTCAAGTCAAATTTTATTTTTTTTTAATATTTATTTATTTTTAGAGACAGAATCTTGCTCTGTTGCCCAGGCTGGAGTGCAGTGACACAATCACAGCTTGCTGCAGCCTTGAACTCCTGGACTCAAGTGATCTTCCTGCCTCAGCCTCCTGAGTAGCTAGGACTACAGGCATGTGCCACCAGGTCCAGCTAATTTTTTTTTTCTTTTAGACAGAGTCTCGCTCTGTCACCCAGGCTGGAGTGCAGTGGCGCAATCTCGGTTCACTGCAAGCTCTGCCTCCCAAGTTCATGCCATTCTCCTGCCTCAGCCTCCCCATGTCCAGCTAATTTTCAAGTTTTTTGTAGAGGTAGGGTCTTACTATATTGCCCAGGCTTGTCTCGAACTCCTGGCCTCAAGTGATCCTCCCACTGCAACCTCACAAAGTGCTAGGATTACAGGTGTTAGTCACCGTACCTAGTACCGAATTTTAAATCTAAATATCTCTTTATGTCAAACTCTCAAACTTAAGGGAACCCTAACCCTGAGATAATTTCACAGAACATCAGGTGATTCCCCAGAGCCCTACTGGCTATGAATATACATGGTGGTCCTGTCTCATGCCCTGGGAGGAACATGAGGGGAGCCTGATGCCCAGGCCCCATCATAGCCCGAGGACTATCAGGCTACACAAAATAAGAACACTGACTGCTATGAGATGTCTTTCCCTAAAGAGGGTGTCTCCAGGAGATGACAGCATAGTGAAGGTGACAGAATTTACTGTGGCAATTTGCTGAGCTGCTGAGAGGGCAGTAGGAAGAAACACTTACCTGAAAGAGATTTTGGAATGGTTAGAAGACTTTCATGCACCAACGGATCGTCAGCTGCATTAACTAGCATGAGAGGAACATAAATCTGCAACAAGAAAATAAAGCAGAATTAAATGACTGATTCCCATTTTCAGACCCCATTGATTCAAGGCTCAAACTCACTGCTGGACATATTTTTGAAGCAAAGGGAAGAGGGTCACAGTTCAGCTTGCTGAACAGGTAGAGTAAGGACGCCTTGTATTTTCCGGCAGTGTGATGAGTTACATCTGCCATTGTGATTACTGCCCTGGAAGCAGGAGTGTGCAGAACCAAAGCTTCCTGATGATCATCAGAGTGTTTCAGATTAGCCATGCCTTTTAGGAAATGACTTTATAATGAATTATGTACATATTAATTCAGTTTATATCACGGGAAGGAAAAACGAAGTGCACTCCACACCAGACAAAAGAGATTCTAGAGGAATCTAGGCCAAGGCTGGGCACAGTGGTTCATGCCTGTAATCCCAGCACTTTGGGAGGGTAAGGTGGGAGGGCTGCTTGAGCCCAGGAGTTTGAGACCAGCCTGGGAAACATAGTGAGACCCACAACCCAGTCTCTATTTGTTAAAACAAACACAAAAACAAAAACAGAACAAATCAAAAGAATCTAGGTCAGGAGTGTGGCTCATGCCTATAGTTCCAGCTACTCAGGAGGCTGAGGCAGGAGGATCATTTGAGCCCAGGATTTCAAAGTTGTGGTGAACTATGATCACGCCACTGCACTCTAGCCTGGGAAACAGAGCAAGACCCTGTCTCTTAAAAAAAAAAGAAAAAAGAAAAAGAATCTGAAGGTTGAAAACAGGAGTAGGCTGGTGGATATTGGAAAACCATTGGCAGGGTTGTATTCAACATCCACTTTACTAAAACAGCCAATAGCCTTCTTTTTCATTTTAGTGGAGATGGTACTGATAGGGAGACTCAGATGTCATTGAACAGCCATACTGAGGCAGTGAATGATTGTGCTATCCTGTAGCTCTCTGATGTTGGCTCTAGACAGCTCAACATTCCTATAATGGCTTAAATGATGACATCAGGGCGGTGGCTAGCTGAATCAGACTTGGAGGGACGGCGATCAATAGGAGATGAGACACTGAAGCCTACAAAATACAAAAATACCGGCTGGTGTGCCTGTAGTCCAGATCGGGGCTGAGGGGAATGGCGTAACGGAGGGGCTGCAGTGAGCGAGATGGACTGAATGGGACAGAGAATGTTCAAAAAAAAAAAAAAAAAAAAAAAAAAAAAAAAAAAAAACTACAGTTCCCAGTGATCTGCTTTAGCCAGGGGAATGGTGGGCCAAACCTACAGGTGGACATTGACAAGAATAAATGGGAATTCCTGTGTTTGGATAAATAGGGGAGACTGGCTTGTTGGTCATTCAGGTTAAACAAACATATGGAGATTTTGGTTGGCCACAAACTTAATACACACAAGGTTTATTGTAGCTGCTAAAAGTTGCATTAATACAAACCAGTCTACCTTATCAACAGACACGCTCAGCTGGGCGTGGTGGCTCACGCCTGTAATCCCAGCATTTTGGGAGGCTGAGGCAGGTAGATCACGAGGTCAGGAGTTTGAGACCAGAATGACCAACATGGTGAAACCCCGTCTCTACTAAAAATACAAAAATTAGCCAGGTGTGGTGGTGCACTCCTGTAATCCTAGCTACTCAGGAGGCTGAGGCAGGAGAATCGCTTGAACCTAGGAGGTGGAGGTTATGGTGAGCAGAGACTGCGCCATTGCACTCCAGCCTGGGCGATAGAGTGAGACACCATCTCAAAAAAAAAAAAAAAAAAAAAAAAAACACCAAGAAAAAAGAAAAAAAAGAAAAAGAAAAAGAAAAAAAATAGACATGCTCATCATCACTTTGATACAGAAACACATCAGCTTTACTCTGTGCTTTACCAGATAATGGCAGGAATTTTGAGTTCAGTCTTAGGCACTATGGTAACAAAATACAGAATGGCCAAAAGAGGGTCCCGCATGGTAAGAAACCTAGACAGATCTCATTGATCTGGCAGAAATCAGACAGGATTATGCTGTCAAAGGAAGACTAACAAAAAGGTGGGTGTTGGAGCAATTTTAAAGGCCCTCACACAGATATGGGAGCACACCAGTCTAAGGGGCAGCTCTGGGATTAATGTATGGCAGTTACAGAGGGAGAAAGTATGGTTCAATAAACAAATCCAAGCTAAAAGAGCGGTTGGAGCCAGATTCCAGCTAAGCTTCCACCAGGAAAATTTAGGAGGGATATTTGTTGTATTGTGTGCGAGGCTGGATGGAGTGATGCTAATTCTGAGCCAGTGATGGTCACTCACCCTGTGCAGGTACCGCATGCAACTTTCTTCCTCATAGTATTCCTTCAGGGAGTTATAGCCATGAAACTTCCTGGAACACACCAGAAAAAGAAAAAAAGAAAAAGGATAAAACATTGGTCATAAGATCAGAATGCTGAGCCGATTATGGCTTCAGTTCCTCATGCTAACTTGTGGCATTGGTAGAGTAGACAGAGGCAGGAGTTAGGCCTGAACGCTGAGCTGATTTTATGACTGTTCCAGATCCTGCGCTAACTCATCATATCAATGTAATGTATGTGGGTAGCAAGATTCGGGGTTAAGAGCACTGGCTTTGGCATCGGGGTTCAAATCCTGCTTCGGTCATTTACTGGCTATGTGATCTTGGGCAAATGGTTCAACTTATCTGAGCCTCAGCTTCTCCTGTATAAAATGAATCTGAAGGCAGGGCCTTCCTCAATGGAACTGTGAGACTTATGATGTTAAAGTGCTTACTACCATCATGACCCACCCAGAGTAATTACCCTGTAGTAATTGTTATCTATGTAATTATTAGTGTATGTTACATCTCTTGAGGCAGTATAAAACCAGTTGTCACTACAGATATGGAGAAACTGAAATTCAAGGACATTTACTGGAAGTTTCCTATTAACAGAGTTCTTGGTGGAGTAACAGGACCACTGTGAACTGGAATAAAATATGTATTAGATAACAGAAATGAGACTGTCATTCAAAGTTACCAATTCTGTCCCTTTATCTCTGACTACTGCTCCATATCTCTGACTACGGAGCAATAGAGATAAACTGGCAGGTAACAAAACCTTCGGTGCTCGGCATGAATGAGGGGCCGCAGCTCTGCCCTGCTCTGCTCTGTGCTCCCAGAGGCCCCACAAGGTTCATCCTGGAGCTCTGACACCAGGAGGCCCAGGCCAGAGGATCTCAAAACCTCTTTCCGACACAGATTAGGGCCTCTGACTTCTGAATGGCGGGTCTTCCTGTTCTGACTAGGGTCTTTAAGCTATCCTCCCTCCCCGAAAGCTGTGGATCTCATTAGACATCTCTGCCTGGGAATGGCCTGGAAAGCTCAGGCTGGACTATTAGGGCCCTCTTGACAGGGAGGAGGCCAAGTGTAGAGATCATCGCCAAGATGCCTGTCCTTGTGAAATCAGTTCGTTTGCAGTCTCAGCAGGCAGGGAATGCATTCTATCCCTCCAGTATTGCTGGGATGGATCTATGAGGAGGCCACCAAGACTGGTTATGATCATAAAATTGCTACTATCCAACACTATTAAAGAGGAAAGACTTTGGAGAGTGTTGAGAAACATTCTCTTTTGGGCATAAAAAATTTAGGAGATGAATGGGAAATTTAATTTGTTTTTCTTTTTTTCTTACTACACACCGCAATACAGTCACACACCTTATCTTAAGTGAGGGTGGGTAAGATGCGTTTTTCACCTTCTGAACATACCAGCAATTTCCTAGTTTTTATTTCCTTTGAGAAACTGTTAGCAGGCATATTTCAAGGTTACTTGGTGTAAGAAGGCTACTAAAATCTCGTAAGGAAGCAAAGCAAAGCAGAGATCCTATACCCTCAGGTCAATATCTGCCTATCTATTAGATGAAGAATAATTGCTTGCTTTAAACTACATCTAAAAATATCAAATAATTTATTTTTTATTTTTTAGGGACAGGACCTTGCCCTGTTGCCTAAGTTGGGCTCCACTGCAGTGTTGTGACCATAGCTCACTGTAATCTCAAACTCATGAGCTCAAGTGATCCTCCCGTCTCAGCCTCCCAAGCAGCTGGGACTACAGGTGTGTGTGCCACTATGCCTGGCTATTTTTATTTTTCAATTTTTTTTTGTAGAGACAGGGACTTGCTATGTTGCCCAGGCTGGTCTCAAACTCCTCACCTCACGTGATCCTCCAGCCTCAGCCTCCCAAAGTGCTGGAATTACAGGCATGAGCCACTGTTCCTGGCCTCAAATGATTGTTAAATAAAAAGGATCACGTCTTTAAAGAGAATGATGAGGTCAGAAGTCAACTTTTCCTTTTTCAGCTAAGGGTAACCTCAATCAGAATCTACTGGTATCAGGAAAGAAGACACTATCAAGATTGCAACCTCAGGTGCCTGGAGGAGAGAGGCAGGTAAAGTAGATGAATGAAGTGGGCAGTATTTGTGTCTCACACTCAGGGGAGTCTCCATGCCCCAAAGTAAGAGGCTCTGTTCATTTTGCTTGAAACACACAGCCCTCTTGGTCTATCTTCTGTTTTCCTACTTTTTTTTTTTTTTAATTTTGAGAAGGGTCTTGCTGTGTCGCCCTGGCTGGAGTGCAATGGCATGAACACGGCTTACTGCAGCCTCAACCTCCTGGGCTCAAGCTATCTTCCCCCATGGCCTCCCAAATCCTCCTAGGATTACAGGCGTGAGACACTGCCCCCAGCCAGTTTTTCTATTCTTGTTAGAGACACAGAGAAGTACAAGAAATACTTCCTTTGCCTTTTACTCCACTGCAAAATGCAGATTAATGTGGCACCTGACACTTGCCCTGTTGTTGAGGCAGGACAGGTAGGGTGAAGACTGCCCACGCTAGGGCCTGCACGCCCCAGTTCCTTGAATCAAGCTAACTATGCTTTGTAGGAATGCAGAATGGGTCGTCAGATCCTTTTCCTATTTTCCAGGAGAAACTAGACATTTAAATGTTCCTGTGAAATCTTCTGTTTTTAAACACTAGACACTTACTTAAAGGGAAAAAAAGCACCCTTAACACTAAAGTAGGCAGAGCAAAGCACTAGTGCTAGGCAGAGCTGACCTGCAGCCTCCCGACTGGCACCCTGCCCCAGAGCGTCTCTCTCCCGCCTGCGCGGACATACCTCATCACATTGTCATCAATCTGCATCAGGGATGTTGCTGTGTAGAGCCGGCTCAAGTCCGTGTCCTCCAGGCTCTGGGGTTTCTTAACGTGGTCTCCAAAAAGAGCTTGCCTAGAGCAAACAAAAGCAAACAGAGATTAAGATGTGGGGGATGAACAACCACAGCAGAGCCTGCTTCCTTGCCAGAGCAAGCCAGGAGGCAAACCCACTGTGGTCAGTTAGAAATAGAATCTTTAACCTTTGGAACATCCCAGAGGATGAGCTGGCGCTGTTGACTTTTGAATAACTGTAGAAAGATGAATGTCAAAACCTTATTTCCCTTTTCAGGGGTACCCAGACAAACTAAAGATTGGGTTTGAACCTAGTTGAATATTTAAAAACCTTCAGCACAGGGGAGGGGGACTCAAGATGGGCCCTGTGGTGAGTGGTGGGCCGTGGGCCAAGCCGTAGGGGCCTCGTCCTTACACTGTGTTGACAATGTCCCCCTTGGCAGAGACCCTTCCCCTTAATGAGCTGTTTGTGTTGCTTAACAAGGAAGACTCAGTGTGCAGGAAGGAGTGGGAAAAAACCAAACAAAAACCAAGGAAGACAAGGGTTAACTCATTTAGCATTTGGGCAAATCAACAGCTCTCTAGTGTCTCAGATAAAAGCTAACATCTATTCAGGAGAGCAATCATTTTTTTTTTTCCCCAACCCCCAAGTGGCACCAGCATTTCTATTAAGAAAAAATCCATCTTGAGAGGATGACATTAGAGGTAGGGGTCACAACATGCCCTTTTGACCTCTCTTCCCAGCAAGGGCTCTCAGTCACACACCTAGAAGCAGACTGAGTTTGCTGAAGCATAGCCCTGGATTTATTAAGGAAGGATTTATTATGCCAACTTGGTGTTCTGCTACCCATTCACAACCTCTCCAAAAGAAGAACACATTTCTGTAGCATTTATTTTTTTCAAAAGACTGTTAGGAAGATTATATACCTACTGGACAGAATGTACAAATTCAAAGTTAACCTAAAATTTCTAGATGTTTGACTTTCTGTAGTAAATTTGAAAAATGTAAATACTTAGCACACACTCAAAGGGGTCTCATAATTTGAACATTCTAGACTAATTAGTAGCAAGACCAGGTTCCTTTAGCAAAACAAATGTTTCCTGGGAGGAGTCACTTTCGACTCCAGAGGTGCAGAAAGGCAGACAAAGGACTTGGACTTGGTGTCAGAGGCCTGGATCCACCCCTTCTGGCTACAAAACCTCTGCAATCTCCAGACCCATCCAAACCTCGGCTCAGCCACATGCACCTCAGTGCCCAGCACACTGCTATATCTCAAACATGAGCCGAGTGGGAACAGCTGATTTTTCAGCCAGCACAGGGGACATAAGTCTCCCTCTGCTCTCCTCCCTGAAACGAGGACATGAGGACACATCTGGCAATGTGGCAGCCTGATGGGGCCTTCGAGCCCAGCCTTGCTCAGGCACCATGTGAACGCCCACCCATAGGAAGTCCAATCTGGGGTGTGTGGCCTGCTTTAGCCAATGAAAAAAAGATAACAAGAAACCAATCATTTAGTCAGATTGCTTTTCCTAGGGTGGTACCAAAAATGCCCCAGATTTTTTTGAGTGCACGGGTGTGTCTCGGGTGCTGGGAGCAATCAACACATGCCTAAGCCCTCCAATGCTCTCCAGTTTGGTTTTAGACATAGGATTTACAGAGGGGAAGCAACAGAAAAGCAACTTGGGCATGGATGAGTTGGCTTCACAAAAATAGGAGAACTGAGATGGACTTTAAAGGATGGGCTGGGTTCCCACCAGCAGAGAAATGGGAGAGTATTCTCAGCAAGGGCAGTGTGGGAGAGGCTGGGGGCACGGGAACCTCTAAGTAGCCTAGTCCAGCTACAGGGAATGAGAGATGTAGAGGAGGAGGCAGAGATGTCAGCAATAATAATAATCATAATGAAAAAGTCATTGCTAATATTTATCTGGTGCTACACATACCAGCACTGCTCTAAGCACTTGACAGGTTAATTCACCACAGGATTATGAGGTGGAGAGACAGGATAAGCATGAAGAATATGCAGAGGAGGGAGGTGCTGAAACCATGCCCTGAGACTCCTGTCCCCCTGCTGCTTGGTCAGAAGCCCAAGGGTCAGTCAAGAATGAGTCCTGATCCCCCAGGCACAGAAGCATCCTACGGAGAAGGTCTCCTCAACAATGACAGCCACCTCGTGACCGCTCTAATTTGGGAGAAAAGGGGGTAGAACTGGTTCCTTGTCTTAGATTTACTGGGAATTACAAAAGCATAAGGTGATTTGGCAAAGTTAGTAGCTTGGGACAGGTTTCTTTTCTTTTCTTTTCTTTTTTTCAGACAGGGACTCGCTCTGTCACCCAGGCTGGGGTACATTGGCACAATCTTGGCTTGCCGCAACCTCCACCTCCTGGGTTCAAGTGACTCCTGCCTCAGCCTCCCAAGTAGCTGGGATTACAGTGGCACTATCACGCCCGGCTAATTTTTGTAGTTTTGGTAGAGATGGGGTTTCGCCATGTTGGCCAGGCTGGTCTCGAATTCCTGGCCTCAAGCAATCTGCCCGCCTCAGCCTCCCAAAGCGCTGGGGTTACAGGTGTGAGCCACTGCGCCTGGCCAAGATAAGTTTGTTTCTAATCAAGTCACAAATGCAGGCAGCAGAGAGTCTGTACCATACCTGTATTTTTTTTTCCCCTGAAGGAACAGGAGCCCTGGCTTTTCATGGCTCCCAGATGAGCTCAGGAAGGAACTGTCTGTCTCCTGAGAGAGAACGGAAGGTGACCTACCTGTGCGAGAGGATGATCTTCTTCATGTTGTCGGCCATGAGGAAGTTGTAGAACCGCCGGCACTGGTCCCATTGCATGAAGGTTTCCTGGGCCCTGGAAGAACCACAGCGAGTGAGGGTGACTGCAGTGTGGGGCTGCAGATGGGCAGCCAGGAGTGGGCTCTAGCCATGGGGCAAGGTGCTTGTGTGGAGAGGGCCAGCTCTCAGGCTGTGGCCTCTGCATTAAAACAGAGGCTCTAATGTGCAGAGCTCAAACATCTCTGGAGAAATCTATGGAGACACCAAGACAGCGCAGGGGAAGGGGACCCCAGCAAAGGCCCTCTCTAGCGCCAGAGGCTTTGTTGGTGGCACCCCCGACACTCTCTTCTAGCACCTGGGCCTTCTCTTAGTCACTGAGCCTGCCAGGACCAAAGTCTGCTTCAATTGTCATGTGAACACTTTCTGTATTTGGCTTCCTACCTGGCAGGCAAGTTTTCTGGTTTAATGACAGGCACATGGAAGGGGAGAGTGGATGTGGAGGGGAAAACCTAAAAAAACTTCTGTTGTTGCTGATCAAGAGGTAAGGTAAAATCATTAACTGGGATCTCCTCCAAATCTATCTTTTGATTAGCCTTATGCCATTGAAGGGGCAAGAAAATCGAAGTGGAAATAGACAGGCCCTTAACCCTTTCTAGGCACAGCTGGTGCGTGCCAGCTGTGGTCTGGAAGCGTCTTTCTGCCTCTAGGGCTAGGGTGTGACTGGCATATGCTAGGTGGCTGTGAGGGCCACCCTCTGACCTTTCAGTGGCAGCAGTAGGCAGATGATATTGTCCCTGTTTTCCAGAGCCCAGGTTCTGCCAGCAGCGCATGCAGAAGGAGGAGACAGCACCACCAGCCCTGGCCATGTGCTTCACCAGCCAGATTTCCATGCCCACACAGCAGGTGAACAAACACCAGTGGGCTCACTCCCACCAGCCATGCCTGCTCAGCCCTCCCCACTCACTGCTCTTCTCCCTTGGGCATAAATCCAAACGCAGGTAGACACTGAATCCACACTCATTAAAGGGAAATTTTCATCTTGCAGGTTTCAAAATCTCCAGGCCTGACTCCACCCTGTGAATGGATCTGGACATCACTACTTCTACTAGGTTCCATCTTCCAGATGGTGAGGGGACTAGGTGGTTTATAAGGTTTTCTTGTTTTGTTTTTTTATTATTTTTTCAATCCAGAGAGCTTATAAAAGTAATTTTATAAAAGTAATTGCCCCAAAGTTGCTACAATTGTAGAATGGCAAAATTCCACAATTTTTGAGTGACAAACATTTCCCACAATGTCATGGTTAAAAAGTAAGAGGTAGTGAGGAGTTAAGAATGAAATGGTTTGTGAATTTAATGGTCTGTGATGTGCCCATCAAACACAGACTAAGCTCAAAGTAGACTAACACCACCTCGAAGGGTCAAAAGGCCACTGCATAAATGTGCAGCCGCCATCCCCCCCGACTCCAACCAAGCACCACAGGAAGAATATAGGACCAGATCACTATGAGGGACCCCAGCTAAAGCAGGACTGTGCTCACCTGCCTGTGGTCAGAGGGAGGGGGGTCACCTAATCACCCAATCAGTGAGCCACAACCGGCTGCCTCTCCTCTGACTTTGGATCCAAGCTACCCAGAGAGCCAATGGTCTCTGGCAATCCCAGCTTTCTCTTGCCCTGGTTCATTTTTCCCTTTGCTGACCTCCTAACTGAAGGGATGTTCTTGCTTTTGTTAGTACCTCCTTCATTGCAGACAGGCTGCAGAGGTAGGGAAGGGAGAAGTGTGTAGTCATAAACTTAAGATATAAAAAGATGCTGCAGTCCTGCAGTTGATTTTTTTTAATTGAATACACCACAGGCACTGCTTGTTGAAAGGTTCTAGGGATTCACAGGGACCCAGGGCTCAGGGAGGGATCAGGACAAGGATGTTGGGACTAGTGTTCCACTCTGTTTGTTTTGGCTAACATTGATTTTTAGTATCTTTGGTTTACCACTCAGTATATGTAGGGGCTGTCCTTTACCTTTGGCTGTAGAATTAAGGAATTGAAACTTAAATTTATATTGGTTTAATAAAAGAATCAAGATCAATGTATTACATTCATCTCATATATATATATTTTTGAAAAGGACTGATGTCTTCAATACCACCACCATCAACAGCAAACTGAAACGCAATAAAAGGGTAACCTACAGACTAAAAGAAACATAGAGAAATCGATAAATGCAAATGTAGGCAATATGTGGATCCTAATTCAAACAAGCCAACTGACAAAAAAAAAAAAAACTTCTATGAGACAATCAAGGAAATCTGGACACTGACGAGAAATGGGATGCTATTAGGGAACTATTGCTAATGTTTTGGGTGATAATGGTATTTGTGGTTATGTTTAAGAAAAAGTCCTTAGAGTCTTTTAGAGCTACCTAGTGAACTACTTACAGATGAAATGATATCTGGGACTTGCTTTAAAAGAATGCAGTTTCTGAGGGAGTGGTTGAATGGCTGGGTGTAGAGGAAACAAGATGGGGGTATGAGTTCAGTGTTGGAGCTGGTAGTGGCTACACTGGGGTTCAATTTTAGATGCAAATCACAAAATGGGCATGAAACCAGGGGACTTTAGCTCTCTAGACACCGCACAAATACCTTACTTGGCTATCCAAGTTCTTTTTTTGTTTTTGTTTTTTGAGATGGAGTCTCACTCTGTAGCTCAGGCTGGAGCGCAGTGGTGTGATCTCAGCTCACTGCAACCTCCACCACCCAGGTTCAAGCGATTCTCCTGCCTCAGACTCCCGAGTAGCTGGGACTACAAGTGTGCGCCACCACGCCCAGATAATTTTTTGTATTTTTTTAGTAGAATACGAGGTTTCATCATGTTGGCCAGGGTGGTCTAGAACTCCTGACCTCAAGTGATCTGTTGGTCTTGGCCTCCTTCCAAAGTGTTGGGATTACAGGCGTGAGCCACTTCACCTGGCCTGAATATCCAAGTTCTTGACTTGCCTCTAGATGGCTATGTTCTCCAGAAGAGAAAAGGGGTGGCAGGAACTGCTCCCCAGGCTGGGCCAGATATTGGCCCACTAGGAAAAACTGGCTGAGGACACAGGAGAGAAGTGTGGAACCCTGGGAGGGGCAGCTCGGTCAGAATTACAGGGAGGGAATGGCTTTGCATAATTCAGAGTGAACTCTTGTTGGAAGGAAGGTAGGTTTCAAAACTTCAGAAAGAACCAGGATGACTCCAAAAGGAGAGATGCCTCCTGAAAGTTGAAAAACTCTCAAAAAGTGATCATCACAAATGAGAAGAGAAAATCACCCCCCAAACCCAGTATAGTTTCACTGGGAGTCTTATTTGAGAATAATCCATATGGATTTTTAAAGAACTTTATGCATCCATTGATCTACCTATTACCAAAATAAATAGAATTCCCTGAAAATGCCTTCATTTCTAATCAATGTAACATTAAATTATAATAAAATATTACACATACTGGTTTCACAGCCATTTTCTAGTGAGATTTCTCTTTGGACTGTTAAAAGAATTTTAAAAGGTGTTGTGGAAGGCAATGGATTTTAATCGCTCAGAAGAGGGTCCCAACAAACAGGCATTTACAATTAGGTTCAGAGCAATCACTTAGGCAAGGAAGAGCTGAGCCAACCACTAAGCTGCTGGGGTAACTGCTTAGAGAAGGCTCAACTTTCCAGCTCGTATTTTGCAAAATGAGTGGATCAAGTACTGATGAAAAGGAATTAAAGTCAGAAGAGAATGAACTGGGAGAAAGAATGCATCTAATACCCAAGTGAATGCAGATCTCCTGGCTCAAATAAATTATGTCTCAGAGTGCTGAGAGACTATGAGAATAGTGAAACAGCTTTCCAAGTGGTCTTTGAAAAAATATGGAGAATATGAAAGAGGTTCTGTAAGAGTGGGATGGGCATGCATGACCTTAACATTCTAAAAAGGGAAAAAAGGCAAGGGCACTATGAATTAAGATTGGAGATAAATTTATGGGATGTGGATCTAGACTACACTAAAAAAAAATATCTTGAAAGCAATATGCTAATGAAACCTTAAGAATAAAGTATATTAAGTACTTTCCCAGAATGCTATCACCCCAACCTAAGAAGTATTTTTACTTGCAGAAGGAGGGGTTTCTTTCCAGATTTTGCCTATATACAGTCATATTTTAAGAAAATTATGATAAAAATACAGAACATAAAATTTACCATCTTAACCTTTTTTTTTTTTTTTTTTTTTTTTTGAGACAGAGTCTTGCTCTGTCCCCCAGGCTGGAATGCAATAGCATGATCTTGGCTCACTGCAACCTCCGCCTCCCGGGTTCAAGAGATTCTCCTGCTTCAGCCTCCTGAGTAGCTGGGATTACAGGCATGCGCCACCATGCCCAGCCAATTTTTGTATTTTTAGTAGACACAGTGTTTCACCATGTTAGTCAGGCTGGTCTCGAACTCCTGACCTCATGATCTGCCTGCCTCGGCCTCCCAAAGTGCTGGGATTACAGGCATGAGCCACTGCACCCAGCCCTTTAAAAAAAAAAAAAAAAAAAAAAGACAGGGTCTCACTGTGTTGCCCAGGTTGGAGTGCAGTGGCTATTCACAGGTGGTCATAGCACACTACTATAGTCCTGAATTCCTGGGCTCAAGTGATCCTTCTGCTTCAGCCTCATGAGTAGCTGGGACTTATGGCATGTGATACCATGCCTAGCTTACCCATTTTTCAGTGTACAGTTCAGTAGTGTAAAGTGTACAGCTCATACTCATTGTACAATGTGAAAAGTTCTCTAGAATGTTTTCATCTTGTGGAAGTGAAACTCTAGACCCATTAAATAATAATTCTCTATTTCTCCCTCTGTATAATCAAATTTTTACAAAATTGCTTTCCTCCTTTTTTTTTTTTTTTTTTTTTTTTTTTTTTTTTTGACATGGAGTCTCGCTCTGTCGCCCAGGCTGGAATGCAGTGGTGTGATCTCAGCTCACTGCAAGCTCCGCCTCCCGGGTTCATGCCATTCTCCTGCCTCAGCCTCCCGAGTAGCTGGGACTACAGGTGACCGCCACCACGCTCGGCTAATTTTTTG